GTTGAATTTCTTCTAGATCTCGCTTTAATGAGCGTTACAAGAATTGTCTGAAATTATTGTTGAGCTACAAGCACGTGACATTAATCTCTACAGTGCGTACAATAAATTAAAAATGCAAATTCAGGTGTTTGAAGACAGGAAATTTAACAATGGACCTCACTATTGTGAAGTTCTCGAAGCAGCCGAAAATTTGAAATTCAAGGGAATCAGAAAAAAAATACCGGCCGAAAAGAAGGAACGAACCATTGTCTTGACCCTGTCAAGTTTTGTGAAAGCCTAAAGCAGCGCATGGAATTCTGTCTTTTAACTGAGGAAGATAAAGAAATAACAGAATGGGCCAAAATGTTAGACCCCCAATTTTGGCCTGAAAATGTTGACAAAAATTTAATGTTTAGAGAGACCGAAATACAAAATTTATCTAAACGGTTTGGACTGGCAGAAAGGCATATCTTACGAGAATATCGTAACTTTATAATTGATCGGAAAATACCTGAATCTCTTATCAACATGGTAAACATCATACCAATTTCTACAAGCCAGAGTGAGCGTGTATTCTCGCAAATGAATTTAATTGTAACACCGACAAGAGCTTCATTACTTATGAAAACTGTAGCTGCCCTGATGTTCATCAAACTGGTTGGCCCTCCATTGCGTGTGTTTCATCCTTTACTGTACATCGATTCCTGGTTCCTGAAAGGCCGACACCTAGCCACAGACAGCAAAAGTAAGGAGCGGAAACGTGAAGATGGCAGCAACAGTATGATGATGACCATTTGGAAATTACCACGTAATTTAAAATAAACTATTTCAAAATTTTCAAAACTGTCTCCTGATTTTTTCTTCATTTTTTATTTCTCTTATTAGAGTACTGGCAACCATGTTTTTAGAAAAAAGCGCTGAATATATTGATTTTAAGTTAATGACCTTTAATTTTCTAAAGAACAATGTGTTAATTATCTTAGCTGTTTCACCATTATTGACAACAGGTTATCTTATTGTGTTTAATCCAGTTTCATAATTTTCAGATGGAAAGGGTACGGTAATAGGCCTGTGTAAATAACAAAGTATGGAAACCGGCAACTTTGTGAGACATTCGATATCTTGAAAAAGCACATGCGACGATGCCACTATAAGTCGGTTTTCTGAAAATTTTGAAGGAATGTATGCCGTTTTTTATGTCAATATTTAAGTCTAGAAAATTAATATTCTAGTTTTCGCCATATTCCATGGTAAATTTATTAGATTTGTTTCTTCAATTTACAAGAGTTGCAAAATTATTGAACCTTACCAAAGACAAATCACATCATCAACATATCTGTACCAATATTTGACATATTATGTATTATTTTCATCACTAAACAATTTATTTCCTAAGTTATCCCCTAAAAGTTCTGCAAGCCAAATAGAGGGAGAGCTAAACCATCGTTCTGTTTATACGTTTGGTCATTAGATTTGAAGTAGCTCTGATTTAAGCAAGTGCTTATTATTGTTTATAAATCCTGGGCTGTTACAGTGTTTACTTTTTCTTTATCCAATAAATCACTAACAATTTGTTTACATTCTTTAATAGTTATACTTGTGAAAAGACTATAAACATCAAACTAAACAATTTTGGCGATATTTGATATCTATACATTTTTGTTTATCCTACAAGCAAAAGATAATTATTATAGTGCATTTAGATTTCAAACCACTTAGATGTTTGAAAGTATTATGTGCTTCCTATGCCAGTTTGTAAGCGGAACCATTAGTATAGGAAACAACAGGTCTGATAGGGTTAGTTAAAATTTAACAACATGGTCAAATAATTATCTCCACAGCACAATCAAAGTAAACATGCTTATATGTATTTTAAACTTTAAACATTGCAATAATTATTCAAAATCATGATTTACGAATGTTATTTGAAAGAAGAGGTGACGGATTTGTTAAACACATTTTTCAACTCTTATCAACAATCTTGTTTGATATTATTGTCTGCTGATGAACATAAATTTCGTTTTCTTATTGTTTACTGGAAATATACAATTAGATGTTATTTTTAATATCAGATTTTAAATAAACTAATTGCACAAGAGCTTCTAAAAACAAAGTTAAGGCTCAAGTATGGCCAACTGGTTAGTATATCAGACTGAGGATTTGAAGGCCTCAAGTTCGAGACATGTACTACTAAACATATTTCCTGCTTTTAACTGTGAGCATGTTATGAGAATGACAGTCAATCATGATATTTGGTTAGAACTAGCTACTACGGGTTTCTCTAGTCTGAAGTTCAATTAAAATTAAAGACTTTGACCTTGCCATTAGCCTGTTGTGTGCATAAGGTGTCATTCAGGTTATCAATACACAGTGTTTATCCTGTGGAGTCGCACCTTTTAGAGTCATTATTACTGTCACAAAAGTGTTAAATGTATGTCAACTAGACGTCAAGAAGTATTATCAGCAAGATCATCTTTGTCGTGTGTCCTATCATTTGGCAGATTTTTTACTAGATTATTTGATAGAAATAATGTAAAAGCCATGTCATGATAATGAATTAATTCATTTATTCAGTAACATTTGCTACAGGCTATGTTCACTGGTAGATATAACTTTACAAAGTTTTCAACAAAGATTCCAAAACGAATACATGCTTAACTTACAAATAAACTTTTTTCAAATTTTCTTACTAATTTATTATAACAAACACACTAACTGACTAACTTACTAACTGAATCACAGACAAATAGACACAATAACTCTCAGTGTTTAACTCACTAACTGACAGTGAATTTACCAACTCATGAGCTCAAAACTCACTCAGTCAGACATTTTAATATTGTAAAAGTTTTCTATATACCACAAGAAGCTTCTAGATTTGAAGTAAGCCTAAGTTATATAAAATTTCTAAAATTCGCCAATCGTTATTCATGTAAAAGCTCCCACTAGTGAACAAAACATTAAATGAATAAAAATATATCCCACAACAATATGTGGAATTTGGACCTGACAAACGATAGTTGCTAGAAACATCATCTTTGTAAAATTAATTTTGTTCAGCTATTTACAACCTTTCGATAGTCTCATTGGTTTTGTTGCCTGAATTTAGGAAAGTAAATCAGAAGAGTAGACAGCAAGGGACTTTAGTGTAATTTGTAAATCCTAACAGATGATGTTTGATCTTTTTCTTTCTTTCTTTCTTGAACTTGTAACATTAATATGAACTTCACTTTAAATTTTTTCTGTATATACTTTAAAATATAATTGTATATGCAACCACAATAAATATTGGAATACAATAAGAATCATAATATTGTTTTGTTGTATCATATATAAAAATGTATTAATGATAAAAGTTAGCATAGCCAAAACATATCCTTACATGTGCTTATATGTTTAAGAACTACCTGCATCCTGTGATATCGTTAGGTTCATTGATTTCCCTTCAGAATTACAGGAGGTTTGACAGGAAGTGGTTTTCAGAAGTAAATCCGAATCTGAGATTTGAAGGAAAGAGAATATACATTGTGTATAACAATGTGAAACTATCTTTATATATTGAATAAAACAATCAAAGGTTATGAAGGATGGTGCCTTTACTGGAGACTGTTTTTGTGGGAAACAAGCACAAATATCTACTATGCTAGGACTGTGTTAAACATTATATCTCAAAAATGTTTGCTATTTGCTTAGTTTCTTGGAGCATTGAATCAATGGGTTAAGTATGAAACTTTACCTCAATATTCCTCTAAGACTTCCTGGGAGATCTCACAGTCTCTCAGCATGAGGGACAGCTCTGAATACAGCTGCATGATAAATCGTATGTTTAAATTTTTGAGCTTGACAAATTTTCTTTACTGTAAAAGACCCCGTAGCAATTGTAATACATCTAGTGTTTTATTTTTAGCCTTAAGGGACTCTGTGTGTGTCATCCTCCTTAGGAGATAACCCCAGAGCAATTCCATTTTTTAAACTGTTGACAAAAATATACTTATCCTATTTACTTAGGTTGGGAATTTCACATTTCTTATTTCTTCTTGTGCTGAGGAAGCTATGAAAATAGTTTTTAGAGGAAAACACATTTATCCCTTACACATAGAAAACACTACCTAATTATTAGCATTGGGTAAAGTCACTGTATAACTTTCTGATCCATTTTCGTGATCAGCACAGAACCCAATTGCAATTTCGCAATAAGGAATACACAAATAGCACAACGTATCAGAGTAGATCCTGATCTACCAACGTCTTTCCTATTCTGACTATGTGAAATTACGACAGAGACAGGTATTTAAAAGAACGACTCACTTGGCATAATACTATTATCTCTTAGTTAGTTGCTCTTACTCTCTCAAGCTTAAGCTAGCGAAAGCCTTCATGCCGTGGTGACGGATTGGTATGTAGGCCCCCTACCTCTATTAATTTCACCAATACCTTCTCCAGACCCCATCCCTCTTCAAAGCCCATGAAAAATATACCCGGCCTTCCTGCCCTCTTGGTGGGCCTGCTCAAATGAATATTAAGACTTTTATTTGCAAATAGTCGTTTTCTGCGAAAGTTTAATTTGAAATGTTAACTAAATATTATTTAATATCTTATAAATTTTAAGAACATTTAAAAGAGTTAAATATATAGTAAAAGTGCTGCACGTTGTCCAATACACGCATGATTTTGAGTGTTGGTGAAATTGTGTTTTTGTACATTTGTATCTAAATTTTTTTTCTCAAAGTTAAATCCAGAGAACTCAGAATTTGTGCTTCCCGTTATTAAGTGAACCTATCCCATTGCTTTAATTTAAGGAGAGCCCAGTTTTATCTGAATAAACCACATAGCGCCACATAGCCCCCCCCCCTCCCCGTTCATTGGGTGGGTAGTTGATTAACTGGAAGCCCCAAAACACAAACTATTTCAAACACATTTAGTCTTTATGGGCTTATCGATATTTCTAAAATCTACGGGTTATACTTAGACGCTTCCATAATACTGCGCGACACCACATCTAACGTACTTGAATCCATATTATTACCTTTTCTAAGATCAAACAACCTTCATACTCTTTAATTTGGTCATTTAGCAGAGGTGTAGGAGGGAAATTAAAAGTGTGTGTGTGTGTGAGGAGGTCCAAGGTTTATTTGACCGAGGAAGAGAGGGAATGTGTGCCACGGGAGCACACATTATGGCCGAGATCCGGGGCTCGCCTAAAGTCCATGGAAGCTCTTGGGTTCTGGGTTAAATTTTATATTTTCTTCTCCTTTTCCAGAGGGTAATTTTCGTAATTTTGATGCATTTTTACTGTTTTGTCATTTATCTGTTTTTAGTTTGATCTCTAATATGTACATGTGAACGGGAAGGACGGAGGAGATGGGTACGAAGAGTATGAACTTGGAAGCTGTATTAGTTATCAAGAAGTGAAAGGTCATCTTTATCACGCACTGTTCCATAATCTGTTTGCATCGGCGTGGAGTAGAACTAGAACTTAGAAGGGAGAATAGACGGTCAAAGTGAGTGTATATAGTTCATATAAACGTATCACATAATATTATTACTTGTTAATTTTGATGGAATAGATATAAGCTTTGAATTAGTTTCATAAATATCTCCTAGAATTTGTAAGTGTGTTAAACTTAATGTTGTTAACCTATTTATTTCTCAGACGGGCATTCAACAGTTTACAGATACTGTGCATCAGTTGCTTCGGAATGAAAACTTAAACTTGAAGGTTAGGCTACACAAAGAACTGGATGGAGTAAATAGATAAATTCGCCAAGTTTTAACACTTGCTGATCAAATTAACGTGAAAATTTTCAGAACACAATAAAAAAGCTTTCAAACGAAAGCTCTAATGCCTGCTTTTACTTCTATAGGTTGCACAATATTACTTGTATTACTATTAGTAATTATTTCAATACAGCAGTGGTTAACTTAACATTTTATTTTATTAGTAACACTAGATACTTAAGCTGCCATATTTTACATATAGATATACACCTTTATTTTCTCAATACATTTATAATTATATATCGATGATCTTTGTGATAACATTACAAAATCAGCCTGATTAGGCTTACTATATAGATACTAAGAGTTTTTTTTTTTTTATTGTAGTGTGACTTGTAATTTTTTCTTTTAAATCCATTTTTGTTAAAAAAATTCTGAATTATATACAACACTGTGTGTGCCCCTTAGAATTCTGAGTAACTTGATTGTATGGCACCATTATAATTTATATTCAAGCATATAAGTCCAAATGAAATAATTATTTTACTCAAGTGTATTATCTATTTTCTTGTAAAAGTAATAATAGTAATAAAAATTATCTTGATTTAAAGAAATATAAATTCTTCTTAATTTAAATAAGTCATACCTATGTTGTAGCATATATTAATATGTTTTATGAATATGTGGTTAGATTCATATGGAGATACCACTTTCATTACATTTGTGTATAATTTTCAATTTTGAATACTAGTGTGAAAAGAGCTTTCTGCTTTCACTGTCGATGACAGAAAGTATTTCCCATTGTTTAAGAATGTGTTAACATATAACATAACGTTTTAGAACAACATGGAACCTATTGGTCTATCTCGACTGTTCCATCCTCTAAACTAGATCCCCCCTAACTCTACTTTTTCAAGAGAAAACTATTTGAGATATTTCAGCCTCTCCTCTTATGATAACTCCTTCATCCCAGGCACCATTCTAGTAACCCTTCTCTGAACCCTTTCCAATAGTTCAA